ACATACAGCAACTAGAAGGATGTGCAGCTATGACATACAACTATCTACTGGGGCTTTGGGGGAAAAAATAAATAAATAAATGAAATTATTTAAAAAAAAAAAAAAGAGTAGAAGGAATCTTGAGTATCTTTATTCTCCTCTCTCAGAATTAGATTACATCTAAACTAACTGATAAATAGCTATTTTGCTTTTATAACATATAATGATAATTAACTTTGTGTTGATTTGAAATGATAATGAAGACATATCTTTTAAAAAAACTTATATTTTAGTTTAATAATGGGAATTAAAAATCAGATGCTTATGGGGTTAGTAGTATAATTGCTTTCATATTTGTTTAAAATATTGATGCTGACAGATTTCCACAAAATGTTTCATGGTTGAGTTTTGTTTTTTGTTTTTTGACTATTATAGATCCGTGATGAGATTTTGGTAGCAAGCATGGATGCTTCTAGACAGCTAATGTTAAATGAAGAACAGTTGGAAGATATGAGGCAGGAACTCGTACGACAATATGAAGAACATCAACAGGCAACAGAACTGTTAAGGCAGGCACACATGCGCCAGATGGAGAGACAACGAGAAGACCAGGAACAGCTACAAGAAGAGATTAAGAGACTGAATAAACAATTAGCCCAGGTATGGGACTTAGAGTCCCTTTTCTCCCTAATTAAAATAGCAGTATTCTTTATATAGCCTTTTTTAAAAAGTCAAAATTATTGCCAAGATCTGAATAAATACAAATATTTAACATCAGGAACAGACGTCACCAGAAGAACAACTTAGATCTTGTTAGGGACACCTAACTCAACCTTGAAGTGGATTGTCTCCCTACAATTTTATTTATCTGTCTTTGCAGGCACTGGAAAAGTGGCTACAAGATTGTTTTTTTTTTTTTTTTAATCATTCCATTCACCATACATGGCAAAAGCACTTTGACAATTTTGGAAATTCTTTGTGCTGAGGTGCAACTGATATTCAGTTTTCCCATATTCATTTATAGTTTTGTGAGTCTAACATTTAGCATCTCCAAGATTTACCTTTATCTATCTTTAATCTATCTTTTTAATCATGAATGGAAATCTGAAGTAGTATGTTTCTGGAACTTTCTCCAGGGAAACATCTCTTCTTGATTTGAGAAATGCAAATTTACATAACGTTCTTATCCCTTTCTTGACTAAATTTACACACTTCTTGGTATTTGGGAGCTGGATTCTTATCAACTGGTGTATATAATATACTCACAAAATCGTTGCAGAAAAGCAAGAAATATTTATGTAAAAGTTCTTATAAAAACAAATTTATTCAATTTAATTTTGGAAACTTAAGCTAAAAGTAGAGATAAGAAATAGAGAACTCTTGAAATATATTCTTTCAAATATAGAGTAATAGGAAATATAGAAATATTAGGAATATAAAATATAGAAATGTAGAATAATAGGAAAATAAAGCATATCATTTGGAAAAAATAATTTTGCTTTTCTTCATCACATTTTGTGAATTTAAACTTCTGAATTTTCAATGCAAAATTGGCATCTAAAAATATTATTAATTGAGCTACACAAATTCCTGAATATTTAGGCTTAGCTTTTTTTTTAAGTTTCTATTTTGCATTGAACTTTATATATGCTTTTAACCCCTTATCGTGGGATACGAACCATAGATAGAACCAGGGCCTGTTGGTCCTAGGGGGTTAAAAGAAATCTGCTTGATATTTCTGCTTTTTTCTTCTGTCGCAAACAATATTCTCTCATGACCTTTTTTCTTATTTAGAGATCCTCAATAGATAATGAAAACCTGGTTTCAGAAAGAGAGAGGGTGCTTTTAGAGGAGCTGGAAGCACTAAAGCAGCTGTCTCTAGCTGGAAGAGAGAAGCTGTGTTGTGAGCTGCGCAACAGCAGTACGCAAACACAGGTAGTATGGATTTGGCCCACCTAGGAGCAGTGGATCGACAATGCAGTAGGATCTGTTTGTCTTTGTTGGCGGTGTGAAATGTATTTTTTATAGGTATTGAGCTTAATGTATTTGTGATTGCTTACATGTAAGATAGGTGGAGTCAAGATGCCTTGCATTCCATTTAAGGTAATTTGAATCTGACATTGCTATAGCAGCAACTGGTGTTTCACCAACGAGCAACCTAACAAACTTGGTTGTTGTACACAGCATGCATTAGCTTCAACCCATTAAAAAATTTTGTCATCTTTGCACTAGAGTGTTTTATCTTTTTTTGATAATGCTAATATCTTGATAAAATATAGTTAAATGTTATTTCAAACAGTGTTTGTTTTGCTAGCAAAGGTTTCTGTTTCACTTCGTAACGACATAGAAGAATGACATGCTATTTCCAAGATGACAGGTTTTCTTTCTGTCTTGTCCTCTCTACCTTTATACAAACTTAAACAGAACGGAGATGAAAACCAAAGGGAAGTTGAGGAACAGACCTTTAAAGAAAAGGAATTAGACAGAAAACCTGAAAATGTGCCTCCTGATATTCTGTCTAATGAAAGGTATAGAGAATGTGTATTTTTTCAATACTAAGTGAATTGAAATAGTTGTTTCAATGTTATAAACTTTATCTGTCCTTATTTTTACCTTGCACATTTATTTTGTTTGTACATTGTGCTCTGTATGTAAAGAATTACCAATTTTTGGTCATTAAGTAGACAAAATTTTTTACATCTTTTGTATATAAAAAAATTTTTATTGAATATTGATCATATACTTACTAAATGTTCAGGTATTATGTGGTTATTGAACCTTTCTCGATTAATTTTCTTCTGCTCATACACCATTTTTTATCCTAAAAAACACAGTTGTACTTGTGAGTTTCTTCTTTCACTGTATGGACATGCGGTCAGTATAAGTTATGCCCTGGTTTGTTTATGATGAGAAAAAACTTTTGTGATAGTCTGCATTTAGCTTCTTTCTTTACTGCTTAACAGATGAGAACTTTTAATCCATATCCTGGTTCTATAGAGGAATAAATTAATGATCCACTGTTAACAAAACTTTCCTTTAACTTTGATTTTGTAGAGGTTAATATAAAAATGTAAAATATTAAATGAGGATAGTTATCCCACATTAATATTAAGGACTGTAAGCTGAGTATTTTAAAATGTTTTGTTTAAATGAAAATAATTTCTTTAGTTTTAAATTAAAACTAATATCCACTAACTTAATTTCCTCCTTTTCCAATTTCTGTGACTGTCCACCCTCTGTGTCCTCCTAACCTCCTTCCTCAGCTTGCATGGAGGAATTTGGCCCCTAAGATTTTGGCTTCCCCATTGGATCATCAGTATGGAGCACAGTCAGTATGGAACTCAAACAAGAAAGACAGTGTATGAAAATTAGAGTTACCATAGCAATATAAAATAAACACTTTGTTTATTTTATATTATTTATCTTTAATTGGTATATTTTTTAAATTATGCGGTGTTTAATTTTTAGGAATTTTTGTAGTGAGTGCTGATAAAATGAGTATTCATATTTATTTCTTTTTACCGTCATATTAATTTTAGTAATTTCTCTTATGTAGAAATATTTTCAAATTATCCTAGTCCTAGGGTGTTTGGGACTGAACAAAACCTCAGAAAAGTTAAAGAAATAAAACTCTTGACTTACTTTCTACTAACTAAATTATTTACAGTTTTATTTTTAATATTCATGCTTTTGTAAGCAGAGAAGTTGATCTAGGTACAACTTTCACTTGGCAAGTACTAAAGGAAAACTTTTCCATTTATTACCTTGTCTTAAAATAGTTATGTCATGTGCCTGTGAAAACAGATACCCGCTAACCGGATCGTTGATGATCTCTCACAGTGTGAAGTTGGGAGAAAAAAATGTCTTAAGGCAGAGGACCTTTACCATGAAAGTCTCTTATTTTGTCTGCATGTATTAAATATAAAGTTTGCCCCTGTAGTACTTTTGTCAAATTAAGCTGTTAGGATAAGAAAGTTGTTTAGTTATTCAGAAGATTGATCAGATAATCTTCTGAATCACCATTTATGGAAATATATTTCTTGACATGGAAAGATGTTTATGTTAAGCAAAAAAGAAAGCTTACAAAAGTTTGTCCAGGATAATCACATTTTTGTGTCTAAAATGTGTATATATTTATGAGAGAGATAAGGAAAAAAGTCTAGAATGACAGGCATTAAAATGTTAACAGTGATTATCTCTGAGTGTTCAGAAATAAAGATTATCACAGTGTTCAGTGTTGGTAGGTGGTTAGCAGTATTTTCTTATTTTTAAAGAATAAGAATGTATGACTTGTCTTTTAAAAAAGAGAGATACACCATTAATTCCGTTTGGTTGAAAATAGGTGCCTTCTACTGACTGAAATGTGATGTATATAACTTGAGATATTTCTGTCTCTGAAACAGATACAATGAAAAATGGTCTATCATATTCCCTCTGGTCTTGGCAGTTAGTGAAATTGTACAGCAGACCTTTTTAAAAACAGGTGTCTGCCTGTTTTTGTAATTTAATCATCTAGATCATCACCATTAAGTTATAGACTATAACACATTTTTTTCTAGTGGAATTTTTAAATTCTATTTTAAAATATATTGTTTGACATAAAATATTAAATGTAAAACATATGTGAATAACCATAAATGGTTAATAACTTGCATATAGTGGGTACTACCATAGTACCCACTAAATTTTAAACTTAACTTTAAAATTTAACTTTTGCATCTCCTTAAAATTTTCTTCTAATTTGGAAACTCTGCTAGCTTAAAACTTTAGTGATTTGATTTCTTTCGGGTCAATAAAATGCTGCACATTTTAGTTCACTGACAAAAATTTTTCAGAAGAAAACAAATTTTATATTATAATTATAAAATAAATCAAAAACAAAAAGCACTTAATCGTAGGTGCTATTGCATATTATTTGAATAGAGAGGATCATGTGATATTTTATTTTTCAAACCAGATATTTTGTAGTGCATTTTTTGTGGGACATAAGCAAAGTGTTTATAAATTTTAATTAATATTTTCTTTATCTATACAGGTATGCACTCCAGAAAGCTAATAACAGACTTCTGAAGATCCTCTTAGAAGTTGTAAAGACAACAGCAGCTGTTGAAGAAACAATTGGTCGCCATGTCCTTGGTATTCTAGATAGATCTAGTAAAGGCCAGTCATCTGCCAGCTTGATTTGGAGGTCAGAAGCAGAGGCACCTATAAAGTCAGGTGTCCATGAGGAACACACAGGAGGTACTAGTTTTATATGCTGTTGAAACTATCATTATCTTCAATAAGTTTTGCTGTGTGTTGAGAATACAGAAGAGAGAATATTAAAGTATTTTCCAAAAAAAGAGACCTCCAAACACAAATACATTAAGACTCACTCTTTTCGAAACACTGTTATTGTATAGCATTTGCAAGTGGGTGTCTTAGAGTTGTCATTATACATACTCAGAGTTACTGCTTTGCTCCATAAGCCAGAGGCTGTTTAATTTCTCCACCGTAGAAGAATTCCACGTTGCCACTCAGGACTCTTACCAATATCTGTGAGGTATGGGCAACATCCTGAAACTACCCTATAAATTAAGACAAGGTTAGAAATAAAGAGCTTTTAAGAATCAAATATCAATTTCACATACCTGTTGAGATGGTTAGAAGAAAGTCTATAAGAAACTCAAGGTTTAATCTTATCTTTGAGACCTCTTCTAGGTCCTTTCTTCCATTTGGAAAAGTGGTTTGAAGTATGACAGAATGTGTATGGATCCAGAGGTTAGGTCCTGACAGGGTATAGCCATCTTCCTAACCCTGTCTTCTTCCAGCTGTGTGGGCTGGACTCTTTGAATTTCTTACTTTCACATTGCTGACTCCCAGTCTCTCTTGTTTTTTCAATTCCTTCTACCTTGCTGGAGGGGAAATCAGAAAATGAAGGGGAGGAAAGTCTTTGTCAGTTGGAGAAAGATAGGATCTGGACTCTTGGATCAGAAGATCAAGCCTACACTTCACTACCATTCCACACCCAAACACTTCTCCTCACTTAGAAGCCGATGTTCTAAAAAATGCCTGTTTATGCCATTTTTGAGAGCATTCTGTTTCTTTCATGTGGAGAATGGCCAGTAGCAAGCAATTCTAAACTTTGATTTGGAATTTTAAGTAAAATTGATTTAAAAACTCCTCAGTCGAGTTCAAAGATAATTTTAAAAACTGCTTTTAGTAAAATAAGAGCTGAAATAGTGCTGTATTTTTAAACTTCCTTTCAAATTAATTCTTTTCAAACTTTGTAAAAGTATTTTTCAAATTAACTTCACTCTTGGTTAAGCTCTTAATCAAGGGCTATTTTATTTCTGCATATGAATCTTGATGTATAGAAAAGAATTAGGTAATATTTTCTTGGTCTCATGAAAGTATTGATCCTATGCTTTTTAAAAAACAATTATTTCAGAAATTGGTTTCACTTAATCATCTGGGGGGAATTTTGCTGTTCTACTGGTAAGACGTACACCGTATTCAAAAGACACTGTGAGGAATGTTCTCTAGGTTACAAAAATATTTTGTGCTCTTTTTGTTAGCAGTTCTCTTTTCTCTTAGACATTTCTCAAGGTGTTTGCTGAAGTGTTCAGCAAACAACATATCTTAAAAGAGCAAACTTACTTCCAGAGCAGTGTTCCTGTAGTTATAAAAAGGAATAAATTGGGGCCGGTCTGGTAGCGCAAGCGGTTAGATGCGTGCGCTCCGCTGCGCTGGCCCAGGGTTCGCCAGTTTGGATCCCGGGCTCGCATCGACGCACTGCTTGGCAAGCCATGCTGTGGCGGCGTCTCATATAAAGTGGAGGAAGATGGGCACGGATGTTAGCCCAGGGCCAGTCTTCCTCAGCAAAAAAAGAGGAGGATTGGCAGATGTTAGCACAGGGCTGATCTCCTCACAAAAAAAAAAAAAGGAATAAATTGGTAATTTAAGTCAAGCACACAGGATTATATTTCTGTTCATTTTCTGTGAGAAAGCAGACCTAAAAGGACATCTGATCTACTAGCCTGCTTTCTTGCATGGTTACCTCTATATCTAATCTCAATATAGATTAAATATGTCTATGTCTTATTTTAAGATATCCAATAATGAGTAGTTTTTCAATTATAAGCAATTTTACCAGTTCAATTCTACAAACATTTATTGAGCAATTTCTCTATGCTCTTTGCTTTATAGCAATTCGCAGTCTAGTGAAGGAGGCACTGAGAATCCGATTCAAGGCAAGATAAAGTCATAGTACTTAATATTTTACTTAAAACCACTTTATATATATTTGAATCTATTAGGCCTTTTAAAAATTTACTCAACTGTTAACTGATTCTGAAAGAATAATATTAAGATACAAGAAGAAAAATTAAATCCACAGTTAATACAGTGTCCAGAATATTATGGCAGAGATAAGAATTTTGCTGGTATTAGCATCATTGGTTATAATGTGCACTTTTCCATTTAATTACTCAGTCTTTATGGTTTTGTTTTTGGCAATTATGTGCTAGTCTTATTAATAAAATTAGGATAACTGCTAATATCATTTGGGGACCCTTATCAGATCCATTTTGCATCTTGAAGGAAATATTGAATTAATAGAATTTATAATTTAAAACTGAATTTTCTCATAAACTTTGAAGAAAATACTGACTTTATAATGTTGATACTCTTTCACATTTAAGAATTTTTCTGAATTTCCTTCATATTTTGAATGGAAGCATTATTGTAAAAACTAAAATGAACTTTTGAAATATTTCTCTTCTCTCTTATTTACTGTAATAGAAAAAGTTCAGTCTTAATCTGATTGTGAAGCAACTTTTGCTTTTCAGTTTTTATATATGACTTTTTGTTGCAGGTAGCACTTGTAAAGCCTTCAAGCCTTAACTTGTTTAGATTTTAAACATGTATGGACTTGTTAACTCTAAAGAAACAAATAACTGATTTGCTAATGTTTGCTTCCTCATAAGAGTAACCTAGTTTATGAAATTGAAGGGAAATTTTAAGCCAATGTGAAATCACTTGAACTTGAGGGAATATTAGACAAGTTCATAAAAATGAGTTCCCCCAGGATGTGTTGAAAGAAAATTTCCTTTAGGCCTGCACTGTGATGGTTCCATGGTAGAATTCTTACCCGTCCCTTAGGAGGCCAGAGACTGAATCTCTTTTGCTGCAGCTTCCTTTTCAAACATTGTGATGTTCATAGAAAAAATGTTGGATTAATAATCAGAAGGCCCTTGATTCTTGTCCCAGCTCACTGTGACCTTGGGCAAATCTCTTAGTCTTCCAGAGCTTCAGTTCAGTCTACACATCTGTCAGGGACTAGAGTCAGTGGTTTCTAGTTGGAGTCCTAGCCGAAGGCCATGGGGGCGGGGGAATGCTCTATTATATCACCTACCCTGCTTTAACCTGAGAAGTGTATTGTTATCTATATGGAATGAACAGGGTATAATCCATAAAGTAAATGACTAAAACACTTGGAATAACCATCATCTGCTAAAACACAGATCTGAGTAGTTCACCAATCTGAAATCACGATTCTGTTCACCAAACTGGCCATTCTGAGATTTCTATTGGCATGTTATGAAATTGCCCTGCCAACTTATATTTTTCTCTGATTTGCGCCCCCACCCAAAGACTAGTTATTATAAGTACAGTGTAAGCTTGATGTCTTTCTCATTCCTTTATTTCATTGAAATAAACAAAAAAGTTTTGTTTCTTCATTGGAACATATTCAGATTGTTTTTGTTTGTCTGTTTCTATCTTTAAAATGTTATTAATAAAATACGTTAAGCCAGTTGACATCTTCTTCTTTTCTAGGTACTTTAATGTCTGTGTTTTTTATTAGCCATTTAAAAAAATTAACAGTCAGTGGCTTTTTTTGAAGTAATGATGGTTTATAACATTATATAAATTCAGATATACGTCATTATATTTTGACTTCTGGGTAGACTACATCGTGTTCACCACCCAAAGTCTAGTTGACGTCTGTCACCATACAAATGTGCCCTTTTTCCTCTTTTGCCCTTCCTACCCCCACCCCGGTAACCATCAGTCTATTCTCTGTGTCTATGTGTTTGTTTGTTGTTTTTTTTATCTTCCACATATGAGTGAAATCATACGGTATTTGTCTTTCTACATCTGACTTATTTTGTTTTGCATAATACACTCAGGGTTCATCCGTGTTGTCACAAATGGCAAGATTTCATCTTTTTTATGACTATGTAATATTCCATTGTGTATATATACCGCATCATCTTTATCCATTCATCCATCAATGAGCACTTAGGTTGTTTCCAAGTCTTGCCTATTGTACATAATGCTGCAGTGAGCATAGGGGTGCATATATCTTTTTGAATTAGTGTTTTCCTGTTCTTTGGATAAATACCCAGAAGTAGAATAGCTGAATCATGTAGTAGTTCTATTTTTAATTTTTTGAGGAATCTCCACGCTGTTTTCCATAGTGGCTGCACCAGTTTACATTCTCATCAGCAGTGTACGAGGGTCCCCTTTTCTCAGCATCCTCTCCAACACTTGTTATTTCTTGTCTTTTTAATAACAGCCATTCTGACTGGTGTGAGGTGATACCTCATTGTGATGTTGATTTGCATTTCCCTAATAACTAGCGATGTTGAACATCTTGTCATGCATTTGTTGGCCATCTATATATCTTCTTCGGAAAAATGTTTATTCAGATCCTCTGCTCATTTTTTGATGAGGTAGTTCATTTTTTTGTTGTTGAGATGTATGAGTTTTTTATATATTTTGGGTATTAACCCCTTGTTGGATATGTGATTTGCAAATATCTTCTCCCAATTGGTAGGTTGTCTTATACATTGTCTTCTCCAACCTGTGTCGAACCCCCTTCCATCTGATTTCATGTCTTCCAGACTTCTCAACTGAACAATTGAAGTAGCCTTCTAACCAGTCTCTTCTTCTCCAGTCATTTCTCTGCATTGCTACAATTTGCTTCCTGATTCGTAGATTTGATATTATCTTCCTGCTCAAAAAATGATTTACTTCCCCGTTATTTATGGCAAAAACCCCAAGGTTCCTATAAAATTTAGGACCATTCACAACTTGGACCCGCCTACTTTCCAGCTACCTTCTTTCAGCTGTCTCCCTAACTCCTCTTCACTTCTGCACATACTTTCACTCCATAAAGTCTTGACTTCCTGTCATATCAGACTATTCTCTTCCCTCAGATTTGTCAAATTCTCTGTCTCCATTATAAAGAAAATGTCGCCAGAATGCACATAATTCCTCAGATACGGATGCTATGTAACATAGGTATTTTTAGTTTTTTTGAACACCAATTATAAACTATTACTATCTTGCTTCCATAGTGTCTTTAAATAATCATTTATTTTCTAGATTGCATTAATTTTATTTAGTAACTTTGTAATATACGTTGTACTATATCTGAATTTATGAATTCCAAGATCATTTTGAACTCATGAATATTTATAATGTATTACTCCCTATTATCAAAGCATTCAGTTTTGAATATATGGAATAATATAATTAAATACTAGTCTAGTTGTTGTCTTTTTTTAATTTTGAGAATAAAAATACAAAGTGAAAATTCTGTTAGCTGTTACACTAAGAATTAGATAAACCTGTGTAATGGCAAACATTTAAAATCATTTCCTAGAATGTAATTTTGGGTTCTTCAGCCAATGACTTGTACAGAGGAGGTGCTTAGTGAATACTGAATTGTGCTAAATTCAGATCTTGTATCTGAAACTGCATCTGATATCATTACTACATTAGATTGAGAGAACTCCATGTGGCACCAGCTACTTTAGCAAGACGTTTTAATCAATAGCTCTTATTCTCCTGGGTGACTGTATCAAACTGAATGTTTATTGCAAGTACTTTGGAAATTAAAGTTTCCTCTGCTTTTAATTTGTTAACTTTGTACAGCTACTGGTAAGAAATATGTACTACATGTACTAAAAGAATAGGTAATACCTCTTCAGGAAATTTCATTGTTGGGTTGTAGCATGCTGCCACAGGTGAGTACTATATTCTATTGCAGTGATGAATAACGTATAATGAATAACCTAAACTTATTCCAATTGAGAGAAAACACTTCCAAGCTTGTCTTATGCCCATGTAAACTCAATTTTCTTTACATAAGAAATACGAATAGTGTGGATACATAAGTCCATAGTCAAATTAGAACTGCTCATCAGTCTAACCCCTTCCCAGTATACCTCTTACAAAAGTAGCAAGCTGCAAAATGATCTTAATCCCTTTTACTGTCTAGCCAGAGTAGGTAATGCTGCCCAGTGTAGTGCTCAGAAATCAAAGGATCTGCTCCAAACAAAATCAAGCACTTCTATTCTTCCATATACCTGGAACGTCCCATTGCACAGTGTTTTTCTTTTCATGTGGTTGTTTATGTATGTGTTTTCTCATTATACTGTATATAAAGTTCTTGAGGATAGTCCTTGAGGATAGTCCCCTCTGTGTCTCCATCACTTAGTAAACCCTACATGGTGGGCATTTAGTAAGTATCTGTTGAAAGTTGTTTTTAAAATTTTTATCAGAGAAAAAAGTACTAAGTAACCCAGATATTAATTTCTGCAAAGCCCTATTAGCATAGCATTATTCTTCTCATTCTTATATCTACTTGGTTATCAAATAATATTGCATTCTGTATTTGCTTATTTTATTTGTTTTGTTGCAGTGTTGTTATTAAAAGACCTTGTAGTTTCAACAATTTTGTTTTAATTTTTATAACCTTTTTTTACTACAATTATTAATTATTATTGATTTATGCCTTTAAAATACTGTTATTCTAGTTACAGATGAATGTATACCTTCTTGTTCTGGAAGTGATGTGCCAAGAAATGACAGTAGTATGTGGTCAAAAGTAACTGAGGAAGGAACAGAGCTGTCACAACGGCTTGTGAGGAGTGGTTTCGCTGGAACTGAAATAGACCCTGAAAACGAAGAACTTATGCTGAATATTAGCTCTCGACTACAAGCAGCAGTTGAAAAACTCCTAGAAGCCATAAGTGAAACTAGTAGTCAGGTAAACTCCTTATGCAGCTAATGTACTGTACTGTGTTTGAAGTAGGTTTTCTTTTAAGCTGGGGAACGACTAAATGTTTTGTTTCTACTGTCCCACAGATATTTAGTTAGGCTCCCCTTTAAATATTGGTTGTCTTTGTGATAACCAGTGCTGATATCAATAGTCTTTTTTTCAGGTGGTAAGGGTTAATGTAATGTGCTGATGGACTCTTCAAGTTCTAAAATTCAGTGTTGTTTTAATTTTCAGATTTTCTAGACTCTTACACATAACTTTTTTTGATCCCAAAAGAGATTTTAACTTCACCATTGTATGAAATATTCCATTATTATATATATTATTTATTTGAAGGAATAGTATAAGGAATCTCTGAAACAAACCATATGCTCTAGTATGTCATAACACACTGCTACTACAATATGATAACAAATCAAACCTACAATTCTTTCATGTGATTTTTACATCTTTTTCACAAATAGAATAGATTACCTCACTCTGCTATCTCTTTGTAGGAAATTAAAGTGAGGGACAGTTTCTATATTAAAGAACTATTTTTATACAAATTTTAAAGGGGTATAACCATTGTCTTTATAACTTAAATTGCAGTTTTCTGTCTATAAAATTTTTGCACTATGTATGTTACTGTCTCTTAAGTTACTGTATGCAGAATTTTTAAAATTATTTGCTGCTTTAAAATGAAGTAAATTCACTTATTTATTTAAAAAATGTTTATCTTAAAACAACTGTAGAATCATAGCTGTCGTGTTAATCAAATGAGTGCTTCGTTGTCATAAGCTGCAGAGCCAGTATTATTAACATTTTCATTGATGTCTTTATTCAGCGTGTCCTAGATCCGTGTGTATTTCAAACAGAAGTTGAGAAGTTGAAAGAGTGTCTTTGATCTCTTGTTATTCCTGATGGCTGGCTTTCATTGGTGCCACTCTTTTTCTCTAAGAAATTATTCTGTATAGTATATTTCTGCAATAGCAATGAATGTTGGATGTAGCAAATTTGACAAATATTGTTACATATTTTGTGTTTTAATGCCTGATTCATTTACTTTTAGGTTAAGTTAGTGATTATAGACCATTTCTTGAGTCATTTCTTGGTTAATGACCCTTGAAATAATTTGTTAACAAGCTACTATTTGGTTAACTTACATCAATCCATTATTCTTTTTTTTTCTCTTGATAACTTGCTATTGGCATTCAACGAAGAAGGCATTATCAAAGTAACATATATTCAGTGAAATATTTGTCCTCCAAAAAGTCTTCAGATGTGACATTTAACGAGAGTTTTGCCCAGGTTCATTCTTTGTTGGGAGACAGTCTCAGTTCTCTTCTGTGATAGACTATGGACTGTATCTTTAAGAGCAAAAGAATCCTGAAATTACCACACATTACAGTGGGACTTCACTAATTGGCCATGAGAATACTGTTAAACTTCTGGTTTGCACCTTGACTGACTGACCAAACTAAGGTATTCATATGGAGTTAAGTAGGTCTCAGAAATGTTTCCATAGATAAATTCTGAAGATGTAATATGATATATATAGTTATATAATGGAAGAAATTGCTATCTTCGAGCAATTCTTGGTTTTCTGAAGCTTTCTTTCATAGCAGGTACAAAACAATTGAAAAGCTTTTGCTTCAGTAACTCAAAAACTTCCTTGAGCATCCCAAAGAATTAAAAGAAGTGTAGTAGTCTTAAAAACTCAAATCTTTGTGTATTTGCTAATACACAATAGAAAGTATGACTGTTTGCACAAAAAACAATCTCATCTTTCACTAAAACCACCATGAGTTATTTTTCATTGCCAACATCCTATGTGCTAGTAAGGAAATGGCACCAATAAAAACCTGCTTCATTTGTGTTATTAATTTAACAAGACATTAAATTGTACTCTTGGATCAAAGAATTTTAATGTTCACTGTATTTTGCTTTAGCCTCTGGTTCAGTAGACTTTACTTAAGCTCAAACATTGAAATTATGAATGCTATGTCATAATGTGAAACTCCATAGCTACTATAAGAAAATACATATTTTCTACTAAGATTTCCTATTTTTTAAAGTCTTTACTTTTCTAATTAACGTGAGCCCTAGATTGGCTTTCTTTTAGAATGCTTACTCATAAACCACTAACAATATGCTACTCTACTGACAACTGAGCCAATTCAGGTGTTTTCAGCTGTTGCTTCTTAGCACTTTTAAAGCTTGAATGCATATGAATCATAATTATCCCTTTTATTAAGTTGTATAATATAGATGATCCTATACCGAATTTCTACATGATCCTGCTCTTTTTTTGTTTGCTTATTTCACCCATATTAATGACTGAATTTAATTTTAATTTCTGTGATTTGTACTCTTTCATACCATGAAAACAACTGTTAATACTTTTCCTTTCTTGACCACTGTTAGATATTTTTGACCTGGATCTTGAGCGCTGTTAATACTGTTGCTGCTACTTGATACCATTGTAAATTATGGACAGTCTAGTTAATGCAATATAATATTTCTCTTTTGACAAGCACCATGGGAAACAGTAAATAAATCAGAAGTGATCAGTGGTTGGACTCATTCCTACAGGCTACTAAAGAAAACCCTCCCCCGGATTATAAGCTGTTAATACTGCCAACAGGCAAGTGTGTGGGATCAACCTGAAATACTCAGTTTCCCACGCCAGGTCACAGCTCGTCACATCTCCTTATGTGACCAGATAGTGAGGTACACTAGGAGCCTCACCATGGCATTTTCCAGATTACTCCTAATTTGTTAAATACTAAAGCAACAATATGTTATTTAGCTTTTACTGTACTGCTTTAGTTTAAATATCACTGAACAGATCACAAAAACTTTGCCTAGATTAGTAAGTAGTTCTCAAAGTGCAGTCTCTAAACCAGCAACATCAGCATCACTAAGGACTTGTTTCTAATGTAAATTCTCAGTTCCCACCCCAGACCTACTGAATGACGGAGCCCAGCAACTTGTGTTTTAACAAGTCCTTTAGGTGATTCTGATACACACTAAAGTTTGAGAATCACTGATCTAGACATTAGTAGTATAATGTTTACATTATTATAGCTGTATTTTGAAGTGTTCTACTAATATTTAGAATATAAAAGGTTGAAATAGTTGTTGACATTTGGTATAAAAATCAAATATTTCTTAGGTGTATTATATTTTTAAGGCAATAGGAGTAGGAGCTTTGTAAAAACTTTCTTTTAAACTAAATTTAGTTCAGTTACTGCTCTTCTGTGGATAGTTGTTTAAAGCCATTGACTTCTTCAGAATATTCTCATTAATAACTAAAATTATTTTACACCTGATGAATATTTTTAACAGTCACTTAGATTGATACAAAAGAATGTGTTATCATCTTTGTGTAATTCCATTTTCCTTTGAATGTATCATTCTGTTTTCCTTTTAATGTGGTATTCCATTTTCCTTTTAATGTGTCATTATTTGGTTCTGCTTCATAATGGTATATTTCCCTTTTGCCTTATTTTTTACTTGTTATGAAAAAATCTAAAACAGACCTGAGAGACACTGCTATGATATCTTTGTGCTTGCAGTGAAAGAGAAATTCAAGTAAATAGCTCAAGGATGCCTTGAGACTAGGAAAGTGAGCAGCATCTGACAGGTTTTGGTAAGGTGGGACCAAGTAAAGCTTATTGGAGGACTTGATGTTTGAGATGAGTCATTCATTCGTCTAATTTATTGAGCACCTACGATATAATAATTGCTATTCTAGATACTGGAGGTGCAGCAAAGAACAAAATGGACAAAGTCCTGCTCTCATAGAGCTTTCAATTTAATGGTGGAGCCCAACAATAAATAAGTATATAGTATGTCAGATGGTGATATCTGCTGTGAAGAAAAATAAAATAGAGGGAGATAGAGCATGATGGGGAAAGGGAACATTTTATATAAGAAATTAAGGAGGTCCTCTTTGATAAAGTGATATTCAAGCATATTCCTTAAGGATGTGTAGGAGACAGCCATGTAGGTAAGTAGGGGAAGAATGTTTCAAGCAAAGGAATAGCAGGTACAAAGGCCCTGAGGTGGTCATGTGCTTGCTCTTTTTGTGGCTGACAAAGAGCCCAGTGCAGCTGGAGCAAGGAGAGTGGGGAAAGTGGGAGATGAGGTCAGAGATACCTGGGAACCAGATCACACGGAGCTTGGGATTTAATTCTTAATGAGACGCAGAGTCATTGGGTACAATTTTTTAACTTTTTATTTTGAAATAATTCTAGACTTATAGAAAAGTTGCAAAAATAGTACAGAATTCCCATGGCCCCTTCACTCAACTTCCCCTAATGTTAACATCTTGCATAATCATACTATAATTAGCAAAACTTACTAATTAAAACTGGTACAGTTCTATTATCTAAACTGCAAACCGCTTGGATTTTACCAGTTTTTCCACTAATGTCCTTTTTCTGTTCTAGGATCTGTTCCAGGATCCCACACTGCATCTAGTTGTCATGTCTTCTTCATCTTCTCCAGTCTGTGGCAGTTAGTTCCTGAGTCTTTCTTTGTCCTTCATGACCTTGACACTTGTAAAGGACTTAAGTTATTTTGTAGAATGTCCCGTAATTTGGATTTGTCAGATATTTTCTCATGATTACATGAAGCTTATGCATTTTTGACAAGAATACCAGAGAAGTGATGTGCCCTTCTCAGTGTGTCATATCAGAGGGCACATGATGTCAATCTGTCTTATTACTGGTAATGTTAAATTAATCTTGATTGCTTGTAGTATCTGCTGGGTTTCTCCACTGTAATATTACTATTTTTTCCTTTGTAATTAATAAATAGCGTGGGGGAGATATTGTGAGACTATGCAAATAACCTATTTCTCCTTATTCTTTCACCCACAAATTTTGGGATCCATTGGTAGATCTTGCCTGCACAGTTATTACTGTGGTGTTCTAATGGTGATTTTCTATTTTCCTCATTCCTTCATTTATTAATTGGAATTATTCTGTAAGAGTTGTCTC